AAATTATTTTAGACGAAAAGTTTTTCTGAAATTAAAAATTCTTAGATTACAATATCGGCAATTTATCATAACCTAAACTGACAAACCTTACTGGGATTACAGTCTGAATGACTGTCACTAATGAATGTTAATTTGAAAGCTTTCGTTCTGCGCTTGATTCGATTGGAACAATGTGGAAAAACTGGATAGGGGTAGCACAAAGAAAAGTAGAGAATTTTTAGAAGCTTGGCACTCAGGTCAATCAGCAATTAACAAACACATTGACAATGGACCCAATTTATCAACCAGTCAGAAAAATCATAGGCAAACATATAATCAAGAAACTGATCAAAAGGGGGATACAATCAAAACAAAGGTGCAAACAACGACAGGTTTTTACGGTCAACAACAATCAATCAAGATTGAGGTTAACAGAACAAGCTACGGGTCAAACGTGCGGAAATTCAAATACTTCACATCTAAAGTTTGTGCTGATGATGTTAGGTTCGTAAGAAAAACACTGAAAGCTCCACAACCTAAGAAGCACCTAGCTCAGAGAGCGAAACTCCACCACGAGCGGTTGATTCAGTCATTCATCTTTTGAAATGCGCTTGTTTTCTAAACAGTAAGTATTCCCTGTCACTTTCAACAATTGTACAAAAAAAATTAATTTTCTAGCTTTGAAATGTTAACGTTTAGAGAGAAAAGAAAACACCGAGACAGATTACTCACCAAGTAGTTTTGTGAATATCACTGTTAAAATGAAAAATTTGACATTTTTTAATTTTTTTAAAATGTCATCGGAAATTAAATACAGTTCTTTTTTTGGGGTTTCAGTAATATTTTTAAATGTTGCGAAAGAATTAGTAGTATAGTAATTTTGTCACCAGAAAAAATTTTACGAAAATTTCTGTATGATTTATCCTTTCAAATATTTGTGTTGGGGATGTCAGGTCACCAGAACTCACTTGATAAAGGTCCTAATTTTGGATTTTATGTTTTCAAGCATGAGCTGGTTAGTTGACCTTGAGGTTACATTTCATACCTGGAAAATCCTTGGCTCTTATTGGTTGTTTTAGTAAGCTCTCACAAGGACGTTTCTATCATGTGATAAATAAACTCGATTTGTGTGCTTGTCAACCTCATATTTTCTGGATGCTTGTCGAATACACTCTCTACGCCATATCAAGATTTCTTCCTCTACTTAGTGGGGCACTGAGACGCTCGGTTAAGAGTAGCCTGTCGTGTCACTGTATCATTTGTCTTCGCTCTCGTTTACCGACTAATATATTTCAAGCATATCGATTGACGAGCATAGCAGTTTTTATTCTACAATGAGATTATGGGAAATGGGATTATCAACCAGAATTCTAGTATTCATAATATGCATCATTTTAATTTATGAAAGCACTACTTTTTAAAATCTTTTATTTGCTAAAAACAAGATACTTGTGTACTATGCAAAAGTTATTTGTTAACAATGGCTAAAGACTTGTAACTTTTAGGATCAATTTATGTGGTAAATCATTATTTGTTCAGAAAATATGTGGAGATTATCTTATTTTGCACAGTTGAAATTACAAACTGATCGTAACTAGATCGACCGTTGAAGTCTGGAAGCACTGAAAGGTGGTTTAACCGTAGTATGGCATTCAATATCAGTCCACATCTACGATCCCCGAGTATGGGAAACAAACTAACTCTAAATCTCTAGTTCGAAGGTCTTAGGTTCGTTTTCCATGAGCATACATGTCAGTGCACACTGATATATTGAGATGGTAGAGAAAATTTATAGCTCAGGTGGATGTTTGTACTGATGATGTTGTTCAGAAGAACGATGAAAACTCCACAACTAAAACATCCAACTTAGAGAACGAAATACCAACACAGTCCCGTACTAGGACGAAACGACCGTCCAGTGCTTTCAGTAATAGTGTAGTGAAGGAGAACACAGGTGAGGGCAACCGAATTGTATTTAATGAAAATTACAGAGTTACTCAGTAAAATAGGAAAACCATATCGTAAACGGTTAATTTGCAAATCTTCAATCCATCATCAATCCATTGTCTGACATTTCACTATTCATGCGTTTCATACAAATTCCATTGTGTTCCCACTCTTCCTCCTTTCTTGATCTTCCCCCATCTTCGGCTACCAGACATTACGTTTACAGTCACGTCACATACTACTTATAAGTAGCGCGCACCACAATAGTCCTACTTTAGTCGGTTCGTGATTTTAGTGAAACTCAACAATTTAAACAACCTTCATGCTGAGAAAGTATAGCATGTGTGATCGATAGGAAAATAAACTTTCAGTCCACTTTAGTATCGAATTTAAACCTGAAACTCGAATCAATGATCCTGTGTTTATTACGTAAAATAAAGAACGAACTTACATTGTTGTGGAAAATTAAAAAACTCGTTTATTCTAGAATTTTCTTGTTGAAAATTAGACATGTACGAATGTTTTATCCTTCTAGTATACGAACTTTTCAATGATGTTGGTGGTAATATTCGACGGAAAGTACGGAGAATTTGTCTTGAAAATGGGAAGCGTATGTGATTTATGAGTTTTTCAAATAGTATTATTGCGCCTTCTTATCTTAAAGCAAGCTATTCTAGCTAAACAAACTAACTGATTTTCAGAGTTTAGTTTGAAAAGTTACACTTTTGTGAAAGATTATTTAGATTTTACATTGCTCATTAGGAAGTTTGATTAAAAATGAGTTTTTGAAATCTTTAATTTAAAATGCAGTAAATGAAATTCCTTGATTTTTCTAAGCATCTATGCTGCGTGATAATACTTAATACTGAATGAACCATTCATGATATAATTTGATTGAGAGCTCACTTTGTGAATTCACAGAAAAAAAAGTGAACACTAATTAAAGTGTGAGTTTAGCCTAAGGAAAAATTAATGTTTACTGTGTTGTCAATCGAAGAGCTCTTTATACAAGTAAGACGTTGAAAAAGATTTGTTATACACTGAAAAGAAATCAAATTTAATTCGTCTATGTACACATTTTCAGATAACTCTGCCTGTAGACCGTTCGGCAATACTGCCGATCCCAAGCCCGGATTAAGGAGGAGGGTTGGACATGGGGTTGGCGACCCCATTCCGTCAAAAACTAACTTGCCAAAAAAACGCCAGCCAGAAAAAATAATTCAAACCATTTTAACTCTGCCCTGGGAGTTGGAGGAAGAGTTATGAAGTCTCGTGATGAAAGCCTAGTTCTCTCGAAAGTCACGGGGCCGATGCCTCTTCTCACAACCAGAGCAACTAATTTTTTAGGTACATGGAACGTTCGTACATTGTGGGAGACTGGAAGACTATTTCAAGTTGCAGCAGAAATGAAAAGATACAACCTCGAGGTGCTCGGCATCAGTGAAACACATTGGACACAAGTAGGACAACTGAGACTAGCTTCAGGGGAACTGCTGTTATACTCTGGTCATGAAGAGCAAAATGCTTCACATACACAAGGGGTTGCACTAATGCTGTCCAAACATGCACAAAAGGCACTGATATGATGGGAATCTCATGGACCTAGGATCATTAAAGCATCCTTCAAAACAAAGAAAGAGGACATTACAATGAACGTCATCCAATGTTATGCACCTACCAATGACTACAACGACGACTTTGAAGATCGATCCTACGATAGGCTATAGTGAATTGTCGACAGATACTCGTTAAAGGATTTGACCATTCTGATGGGAGACGTAAATGCCAAGGTTGGAATGGACAACACTGGATATGAAGACATCACGGGACGATATGGACTGGGAGTAAGCAACGAAAATGGTGAGAGATTTGCAAACCTATGTGCCTTCAACAAACTGGTCATCGGTGGCACAATATTCGCACAAAAACGTATACACAGAGCTACATGAATTTCACCAGATCACACTACTCAGAACCAAATCGATCATATCTGTATCAATAAAATGTTCAGAAGGACCATGGAGGATGTGAGAACCAAGAGAGGAGCGAAGATAGCCTCAGATAACCACATGTTAAATACGGCCTTTCCTTGGGATGTCATAGACTATTTGAGAAAATTAATTTCATATGTCACATACACTTTCCACCAATTAAGTTCTTACTCATCCCATCACCGTGCGTTAAATTTTAGCGCTCTGTGTAATTCTACTTTCAGATTATGATGGTTCTATTACATTACCGTTGAAAGAACCTTGATTATCGATTCTAACTGATTGAAACACTAAATAATGATATACTCGATAAAATGTGAATAGTCACATGAGTTGCCATTTTAAATTTCGCGCAAAAACAAAATGTCGCTAAGCGTTTCCTGATTGGTTCATATCTGTCAAAAAAAACAAAACGTGTCATTCATTTATTTTGAAATTTAATATATTTACTTTTTTATTTACAAATAAGAAAAAATTGATAAGAACTTAAGGAGACCTTATTAATAATGAATTATATACAATAGTAGTAAATAATTGTTTGGAAATAATTCTCTCTTCTGAAAAATTCCTCTTAATATTTTATTTATCAAACTGTAACCATGTAATTAGCAAGAGTTGATGTTTGAAAAGTAAGTAATAAGTCAATTGAGAGCAATGAAAAATTAAGCAAATTGTCATTTTTGTAACGAGGAAATAATAATTGTTTATTAATACTGTACAAAATCAATTTAAGTAAATAAAGTTTTTTTTAAAAATTTGCAGTCAGTCATTCATTCTCATTACTAAAATGAAACTTTTCAATTTTCGCGCAATTTTTTTCAATGTAAAAGTATGTGAAGAATTTCTTTGTTAAATTTTCAATTCAAAATCAATTGGAAAAATGGAATTTTCTTAAACAAAATTATGTATTTTGAAAAGGGAGAAAAAAAATGTCTGCTTTGCTTTTATTTTTTTTTTCGAAGAAATCTGTTTTTAATTTTTCAAAAAACTTTTGTTTTAAAAATTCAGTTTATATATATATCTTAAAATATATATATATATATATATATATATATATATTTATTTATTTATTGAGATAATCATTTTGGAAATCTGTATTAATTACAACAAGAAGAAAATTCAAATTTCACGCATCGACTAAATTGGACTTTGAATCAGTGACGTGTGTAAATTTTGAATTAAAATTGTACTAGACAAAGAAAAAAAAAGCGGAAAGAAATAGGTTCAATGTATTTTTTTCTGGGTAATATAAATTTTGGAAGAAGGGCAAAAATGCAAATTCTATAACATATACCAATAAATAATTTTCATAAACTTTTAGAAAACAATGAATTAGTAAACCTAACTGCGATAAAAAAAAATGGCAGATTATCCTCTCCAAACACATTGTTAATTTTAAACAAAACTACCTTCAGCATTTAATGGTTTATTGATGATACTACTACTACTAGTAGTAGGAGTGTTAGTAGTAGTAGTATTTGGTGTAGTAATTTTATCTGTTGTATAAAACTCATGTATTATATCATTGATATTCTCTTTTGCTGTTGGTGATTCCTTTTTCGGTGAAATCAATGTTACCATTTTTGGTGGACGTGTAGATTTGATTTTTTTCTCTTCTATTATTGATTTTTCCGGTGATTTATTCATATCATTAGGAGTACGATTACAATTGGGTAAATGATGCATACATTCCGGTGTTTTAACATGATTATTATTATTGGTGAATATTAAATTACCATCCGGTTTAGTAAATTTTTTATTAGAATTAAATGTGGACATGTAAAATTCATCAGATTGACATGAATTCTCACGTGATGGCAGTTCATGCTTATGATGACTATTCGATAATTGAGAATTTGTCATCAGTGGTTGTAATTGAAAAAAGTCTGGGAACATCACGTTATTGTTACTGTTATTATTATGACTAATACTACTATTATGATTGTTGTTAGTAGTAAGTGTATGATTCTGTTTGCTAGGATTGAAACTATTCAATTTTGATGTATTCAATGAGGTTTTACCATTGAATTGATCATATGAATTCGGCAATGATTCATTCAATTGATCATGTTGATCCGATTTAATCCAATTTGAAAATAAAATTGGTGTAGTTGTTTTATTTAACTGTTTATCATTATTACTGTTATCATTGTCAACAACATCACCACGATGAAATGATGTCAACGTTTGATATTCATTTCTAGATGATATTGGTGCATTGTGCAACGGGTCACCACCAACACCACCTTGAGCTAATTGAAAACGTACTAAACGACTATCTATAAAATAAGTGTAAAATAAAAGTATTATTTTTAACTTTGAATGTAATAAAATGATGTAACATGTAAAATTCATCTAGAATTTGGACTTTGTATAATGAAATTAAGAATTCTTACTTTTTGTTACGCCTATACGTAAACACGTCAACTTGATATACTTGAACTATTTTTACGAGTTTACTTAGTCGGAAACGTGAGAGCGAGGATCGAGGATCCAGCGACATGACATGCTACTCAAATCCAATTATCCCAGCCTCCCATATTGAGTAAAAATAAGACAACACTTGATATGAAGTAGAACTTGTATTCTAAAAGCATCCAGAAATTACGAGGTCCGAATCCAGAAGAGAATGAGGATCCCGCACTAGGAATCCGGGACCGGGTCCTGGTCCTGATCATAAAACATTACAGATAATGCGTATTTATACATTTTGGTCGAATAGGAAACAGCATCGAAGTCTGTGACATTGACAGTTAAGACGACCAACAGGAAGTAACATTTGAAGTGACATTGGTAGTCAGGACAACCACTAAGAAACAACATTGAAGTATGTGACATTGATATCTAGGACGACCATAAAATTGACCTGTAGGAATTAACCAATAGGAATTGATCAATAATTCTCTTAGGATATTGGACGAATATCCTAACAATTTTTTAGCCTTATAATATAGCACGTAATGATTTTAGTCAAGGCGCTGGTGAAATTCTGGACAGTTGCTCTGTCCAAGTAGAGGGCTGCATATCAGTGCCCATCTATGATCTGTCATACAGGAATTGAAACCAATACCTTCGGTCCTGCATGTGTATGCCCAACCTAGAGATCACTGAACCTGAATCCAACGGTACAGATGTCTAACTTTGATCAATTCATAATATTTGGCAACCATTTATAATTGTCTCAAAGCGATAAATGTTTCACATCCAACTTGGATAAACTCCACTCTTGTGAAGTTCAATAAACCGGACAAAATGGTTTTCAGTAGTGATCAAACCAAGATATAAAATCATGATATGAGTCGATGAAAATTCTATCATCTCCATAAAATTTTTTTACTGATAATTCTAATTTTATAAATATATTTTTAATCATAATAATGAGAGTAATATTTAAAGTAGACTTTTAAAACCTGTGAATAAATTAGTCAGTGCAATCGAATGGAAAGCAGTTTAAAACAATTTTTCCTACAATACAAGGAGACATTAGAATGAATTATATACTGAAAGACTATTTGTAATGAAACAGTACCAGAAAATTGATTTCTCTGTATTTATAAACAAATATAGGATTCATAGTATATATTTTCGAATAACGAAAATAATTGTGCGCATCCACGACTCCTGCTCCCCACAGGATTCGGACCCGGGATCTTCGAAATTGTGCGCGAACGCCCAACCATCGGGCCACTGGGCCGGCATCCGACGGTGTTA